TAATGGTTACCATTTTTTAAAGTCCTAAGAAAATCAACAAGAATTATTTGAATGTTTGCTGGTGTTTAAAGGATGCTATATTTTTGACATTATTTTTTGGGGGGTGAGAGTAGAGAATGAAGAGGAAACATACACATTCTCTATACAACAGTTCCTTCAATGGCAATGATCAATTATCCATTTCATCCTCAGAGAATTTTCTATACAATTAAAAGAACAGGGAGGAAAAGAAATGTCATTGCATTTATTGTAACAGCAAGTGACCAGTTTCGGATGAACTTAGCTCCAGGAAAAATAAAAGTTAAAAGCAACTAGCAAAAGATTATGCCAGATGGCATCTGTCATATTGTATTTAGGGTTATTTTAAAGAGATTGCCGCCACTATGAAAACATTCCATTGACAGAGTTTTCCTAGGCTGAATAAGAAATTCCAGTAGAATATATTCAGGGCCACTGTACTCAGGTTTGAAATACGCCCCTCCCACCCCATGTAAATATAACTGGAATATGTTGGTGGGGGAGGATACTATTTCATAACTATTGCATATATTATAAACTCAGAAATGTAAGACTATTTTAGATGTTTGCTTATCTATACATACTTACATCCCCTATTCAAGGGGTATTTTTAGGTTTCAACACCATGATGGCTAAAGAATTGGGTAATAAATAAATAAGTATCTAGCAATGGAATTCTAGTCTCACTGTCGGGGTGATAGATAGGGACATCAAGGGGGGGGGGGGCAGGTGGCTGCACTGGGAGGAACCGTACTGGCCTGTGCGGCCCGTGGAAGACTAGAGAAGACGAATGCATTTAGGTTAAACTGGGTCTGGCAACAGTATGGTTAACGTGCGTGTGGCGTGCAGTGTGAGCTCAGCAGTTACTGGGCCAACTGTCTCGGTATTTCTGGGAATCCTGCCTATTCACAGTGCAGGGATTGTTCAATTGCTGCAAAATGTACAAAATGAATTTTACAAAAATGAATTGTAAGGAAGGCCCCATTACAACGATTTTACAGCAAAGATGTCAACATCAATTTTTCTTTCATGCATAGCTAATGATTAAAACAGCATATTCCATTTGCCTAAGACAATTCATTTCATATTGGCACATCAAAATATTGAAACACCAAGTTATCTTTACTCTACCCTTTTTATTCATCGCTGCTGAACCCATACCATTGTTCAAACCAGGAAAAATAAAACAAACTTGGCACGGCATACTTAAAACAAAGGCTCATCAATATTCTCCAATTTGTCAACATCTCAATTACAGCACTGGAAAAAATGTAAATTTCATGTGCTCTAAACACTGAGGGGTCTATTCTCTTGCCAATTCACATGCGTAACTCCCATCAGCGTTAATGGGAGTTACACAAACCCATCAATAATAATAATACTTGTACATATATTGTGCCTTTCATCTGAGACTCTCAAAGTGCTCTGTGAACAAGGGGGCTGCTTCCTCCTTTTTACTCGGGCAAAATCCACAATGAAATACAAAGCAGCTTTTGACTTAGCAGGTACAGAATTAGGGATCCTAGCCTTATTATCAAGCCCCATTTTACTGATGGGAAGCCAGATATAAAGAGAGCCAGTTACTTCCACAGAGCCTACAGAGTCTGCACCCTAAATCTGTCCCAGAAAAAAAACAAACAGATTTCTTTCTTCATTCAAGCAAATTCCCTCCCTTCGGCTAGCTCTGAGCAAAAGAAACCAGAGTGAATAAAAGTCTGGTTCATATTTATATAGTTTACTGCTAGGCTTATGCTGTGTGGAAGGCACAATAGAGTCAGTTCCACATTTTACCAAGTTTGTTTCTTACGAGTTTTTTAAAAAATCTGATTTTGTTTTTTTCTTCTTCCTTTCCGTTTGTTGCACAAACGCTAGGGAGGAAAAGATGACCTTTCACCTGTGTAACTGTAGCTCTTTCACTATCAAGTAATAAAATGAGGTATTTTCACATTCCAAAGTAAAAATTTGTCTGAATCATTTTAGTAAAAATATTCACAAAATATTATAAAGCAACATAAACGCAGTATTGTTTTATAGCATATGGCTATTAAAGTTTAATTTAAAATGTGTAGGAAAACACTGTATTTACTACAATTCATCCCTATTTTTTCTGTTTATCATAATTTGTTTTGGAACTGAATCATTTTACAGTTTTCCATATGCCTGTTGTGCTAATAAATTCTGAATACGTAAGAAAAAAACTCTTTTCTAAACTATAAACTTGGTTTCTAATGTACTATTATAATATCTTTAATACTAAGAACATAAATTTCCCTCTTAGGCTTTTCCATTATACATCCACCCTAAGATTTAACCTGGGATAAGCATATGCGATTTAGTCAATATCTCTGTTGACTTTGCCCTGAAGCAGATAATTAATCTTTCCCACAGAAAGCTACTCTGGACAATTCAGTGGGACAAAATATAAAAATGTCTTGAAAACATGTTTAAAAGACTAATAAGGGCACGGGCATGACAAAATATGCTTGCGTCTGGCCCTCAAAAATTAGGGTCTACTGTAAAAATCAGAATACCCTTAATCATGTGTTTTGGAACCACTGATGTGGGAAGCCAGGTAAGAAAGTCTCCACGCCAAAACCTTCTCCATTGTATAGGAATCATAACTTCTTTTGTCCCTTACATTCTAATACGTAAAATGACTGACTCTCTAGTACTCATTCACGTAAGTTACCACGACCATTCTTTTTTTTTTTTTAAATATATTTTTATTGATTTTGTACAGAAAGGGAGGGAGAGAGATAGAGAGTTAGAAACATCGATGAGAGAGTCTTGCTCAGCTGCCTCTTGCACATCCCCTACTGGGGACATGCCCGCAACCAAGGTACATGCCCTTGACCGGAATCGAACCCGGGACCCTTCAGTCCCCAAGCTGATGCTCTATCCATTGAGCCAAACCGGTTTCGGCTACCACGACCATTCTTTAACCCCACAGAGAAATGGTTAAAGAAACAAAATCCTGCAGGGGTCAGATCCTTCAACACTGGATAAGTGGGCACAGCTCCCCACAACACAGAGGTTTGTGTAGCTTGTTTTTACCCAGTGTGTGGGTCTCAGAGGTCTTCTCTTTCTTCACCAAAACAACAACAACAACAACAACAACAACAACAACACAAAACTAACCCAAATGACAAAACACCATTCCGTGCCTTTATTGCAACTGTTCCCTGCTCCAAACCCCCAGGTCTTCTCTCCGCCCCCCCCTCCTCGCCCCTTTGTCTCTGGTCCCTTCCTGCTATCTTCCTTGCCATAACTCAACCAACCCAACAGAACCAGTCAGTTTTAAATTTCAGTTGGGACCTTCGTGACCTGTTAATGAATCTACAGAGAGGAGAAAAACTCACAGTGTTGAGTTATGCCTGGTGTTGCTAGCTGACTTGGAGTCAGAAATGCTTGAAGCGTTAACGTAATTGCAAGAATGTGAAAAATGAAGCGCTGAGCTCCTGAGTGAAGTGAAAGGTCAAAGAGAGCCTCACACACAACAAGTCTTTGGAAGATAGCCTCATTAGACCATTAAGTCTGCTACTCCTCTCCCCCTCTTCTGCACAGTGTTTAGCGTGTTTTGTTTTTATTAATAGATGCATTTCCCCATTTATGTGGCAGCCATTTGGGGTGGTATGGGAAGGGTGGAGTCATAGAAAGCTTTCCAGATTTAACCACATTGAGAAGTCAGTCCATCACCATGACACAGAACTACAATTGAGCTGCTGCGTTGCAGTTTCATTGAATTTACGCACATGTCACCTTCAAAATGCCATGGAGTTTAGTTGTCTTACATACAATCTACCTGGTCCAATAAAAACATTACATAAAGCCTCACTACATATGACTCACAAGTTCTTCCACAATGTATCATCTGATAGTTTTCATTTCTGTGTCAGTTGCAACTTGCATAAACCTAGATTCTAATTTGGACCCATTCTCAAGTTAATGCATCCTAGAAGAGACATTTCCTAGATTCTTCCAAAATACCAGAAATCCAAAATCCATGGCCAGAAATTTGGAAGAGAGAAGGCCCTCACCCTACATCAACCACCCTCTTGTAAATGGCATATATGGCTACAGCTCAAGCTGTTAAACTGTCCTCTCCTTTGAAGACTGTCTAATACTTAAATAGTGTGGCTATAAACACAGTCATAATAGAGATGAAATAGACCTAGGAGATCAGACACCAGATCATGTAAAATATTAAAAAGTAAAATCTATACACTTTTCTGGACCACATTCAGTAATGCATCTTCCTTTAAATTATCATGTTAGCCATCAATGAGTCATCCTTATTAACATATAATTGCTCTTTTGTGCAATAGGTGAGTTTTAAATGGTAAAATTGATTCCAAATCACACCAGGCTTCCTTGTCATCGGCACTTCATTTCCCCTTTGCCCTCTGACTATTTTAATTTTTAGGACTTGTGACAAAAGTCACCATGACTGCTGAATGGAAACAAATAGACATCTAAGAATTTCAAAACCTATATGCTCAAGGTAAGATTCCTATATAAAATTCATGCAGGACTTCTGGAGCTAAAACGAAAGGATTTTTGCATCTTCTGTGCTTTAGATGCGTTATTGCTTGATTATAGAGAACTCTTACAGTGGGCACTGCAAACAAAATATAATGTTTATAGCATAATTTAAAACTACTGCATCTAGCTGCAAAGGAACTCATCCTTCTATTTCCGCACACACAGAAGTGTAGATAACCAAATTTGTAAAAGAATTGGCAGAACTAATCAATTGTTAGTGCGATGCCTACTTAAAGACCAGACATCGCACTTGGATTTTTTTTTTTAAGTAATGCAAGTTAAAGAGAGGAAACACTAAATAGTCTCCTAAATAGCAGCTGGTGATGTTCCCTAACCTGCCATCCTCTTGTTTACAGGGAGGCAGATGTACTGAAGTCATAAAATATTGAAGTTATTTTAGTCATGCCTACTTTGCACAAGGAAAATGCTTGACCTTTTACCTTGCTCACTGCTGTTGTCTCCACTCTGGGAAGCATGACCCCCGCTGGAGGGCCCTGGGGTGCCTGCTGAGTGGGTGGAGGTTGCGTCATCGTGATCTCGCCAAGATGCAGGATTCTGATGTTAGGATTCCAAGAAATGTGTCCACAGTTACCGTTTCAGCCATAAACGAGGAACCAAGGAGAGAGATGCAGAGAGAAACAAAATATGTACATATTAGTATGTGTGGGATTAGGCATCTATAGATGCCATGCTAAAATATGTTATCTTTTCAGCAATCATTACCAAAAAGATGCTTTAGAACCTTGATGAGGTCGTGATCACATCAATGTACACATTTGTGAAGACACATTGATATATTCACTTAAAATGGGTATATTTTTATTACCCACAAATTATCCCCTAATAAAGTTAAATTTTAAAGTTGGAAGGGAAAAAAGCTTACTTAAAAACCTCAAAGTCCTTTTTCCTCTTGCCATCTTAATTAGGACATACTCTTCCGTGAAATAGGGCCCAACACTATTGTTTGCTAAATACTTCAGGGCGTTTAACATCTACAAAACTCAGTGAGTCCCATAAAATAAATAAATAAATAAATAAAACAAAACAAAAAACTCAAGAGTGTATGAGACGGCTCTTCGCACCCTTCAAATGCATCACCTAAAACAGTCGGGCTGAAGCTTCAAAATTGTCATCAACGGGTTATACAACCAACAGACCCAGTGATATTAATCCCAGCATAAGTACCTAATACATGATCAGTTCTGCTTCCATTTGCACAAACAGCAAGAATGAAAGTGGGACAACTAGGAACCGTCCGCTATCTAACAGACCGGACAGGCCTCACCCGTGAGCTCCAGGGGAGCTTCCATTCCCAGAATGGGGCTCTTTCCTGGGAGAATACGACTGGTTTCCAAGGACATGCGGGCAGACCCCACAATCGCTCATGCCACTTTGCTGAGTATATTCCTCTCCTGGCCCTCCGCCCCTTTCCTGATCACTCCCAATACCCTGCTGCTGCTTAAAGGAAAACAGGAATTCTAATGTACAGGAAAGACTTTATCAGCACCACGTGAAGGCAGGCAAGAGATGGAATTTCCTCTGGCAGAAATGGGGAATGGGAACAAGTACGTGAAACACACCACCCATAGGCCAGCGCCGTGCACTTGTCACCTATATGCAGTGACTTCGACTGAGCTCACAGACTTACTGGCAAGTAAATTCTGAGGCAGGGGGATTCTTTGAGGGAAAACATTAAAAAAAATAACATTAATCTCTGAAAGTACACTATTTCTTCTTACAAGAATTGATAAGGATTCAGACAGACCAACATGCTTCTAGGCAACAGGCAAACGTGTTGACCATCTGAAAGCAATCTTACAGTGCTGTCAGTGTACATAGTTTATCCAGAAAAAGAACCAGTCTATCATTTTCCTCAGCATCAATTCCATAATGCATATCTAGAACATAAAATGTTACCAAAATAAAATTTGAAACCAAGCTGAGACCAAGTAGAGGACTAGTCTTACTTGGAACAACAACCAAAAAAAACTTACGTGCAGTTACGTTACAAACTGAGTGTAAATTAATATTTAGAATTTTTGATAGATAAGCTATAGAGCTTTAAAATGACCCAAAGCTCTATAGATTACTAACATCTAGCTCAAATAATGCCACTGGCATCGCCATCAGGCATGCAATTGATTCAAAGTGAAAACCCCAAGCAGAAATTTAGTGACTATAAATACAGCACAGGCATAGATCTTTAAAATAAAGATATGTTTTAGGAAATAGATTAGAAAATGAAATTGCATAGAATAAAATGAAAATCAAGGATCTCTGTTTCCTATATTAAGACAAAATCGTGTCTGCAATCTCTCTTTTATATCTAAGTTAGAAATCACTCCAATAATTTCAACCTAAAGATACTAGTAAATAGGATAGTATGGCATCTCTTGAAGGTTTGTAGCCTCTTTGTGTCAGCTGTTTGCTAGCTAGTAATCAGATAAAGAGGTAGAAGGGGAGAGAGAGAGAGAGAGAGAGAGAGAGAGAGAGAGAGAGAGAGAGAGAGAGAGAGAGAGAGAGAGAGAATTGCATGGTGTGAGTTTAGTCCTGCAACAGCACTGGCTACAGGCTTCTTTTAGAAAATGCAAAGGCTGCAACACATTCACCTAAGCTTAACTTTACAGTGTACACAGCAAGTGATGTTAATTTTATGCACTGCAGGCTTTTTATTAAGCCGGCTGCTATAAAAGCTCCTTACCCCTCATGAAAATTACAATAATTAACCACTAACACCTCGACTATGTTTTAAGGCAAATGTCATCCAATAGCTATTAGATAATTGTTGAAGTGAAGCTCGAAGAGGCTTTCTGTTTGGGCACTCGAGTGATTTGAAGGGATCACCCAGAAGGGCTTAACTGCACCTGAAAATGGTGGTTTGTCCCTATCAGTCAAACCTGTACCGAGTTTAAAGCCAGACCTCATTCATTTATAGTTCAGTTTATTTCTTTTTCTGGAGGAAGTGTTTTCTAAAGTAAAGGAGTAAAAAGGAAGTGACATGAAGCAACTATTACTTTAAGAGCAGCTGGTTCCTCCAAGCCAGTTGGGTCTTTGGTGTTCAGCCTAGACCTGAGATAGGCTCAAGTTCACTGTCTAACCCACCATGTCCCCAGCTCTTCCCTCTTTGCTCCCAGGTGTTTGCTTCCATGGAATATCTCAAGTATTAGCATCTAGTTTCAGAAACAGACGCAACCTAAAGTGCACCATGATATTCATCCAACTTGACAGCAGGAAAGACAGATTGAATCTCTCTGGGGTTTCCAGGCTGAGGAGTTGCCCTAAACTTGAATGTCCTGGGCTACGCCATGGTGACCTGACCACAGACCCAGACAAACATTGATAATCTGGTCAATGGAAAAAATAGCTATCTCATTGGTCATAAAAAAATTATAACCTACATGGTCAGACAAAATGTAATCCATTGCCCATAACACCGTTTCCCCCCCCTTAAATAGAAATATTTGTTTATATCACAACTCCTTTCTTCTTCTTTTCCCTTTCTAGATAGTTTCCAAGTTTACATCCTTCAAGAATAACAGCCTGGCTTTCTGCCAAAGTATATGCAGGAGTTTAGTGAATCTTGAAACCAAAGTGGCAATAGGAGAGCATGTAAAACACATGACGTATGTTGAAAAATTAAGAGAAATGCTTTCCCTTGTGCATGTGTGTGGGTGAGCATTCAGGTATACGCGTTCCACAATACACTGTCCCGTTCTTCAGCCAAAAGTATCGGGAAGACACCGAGGGCAAGGCATGAACATGTTTCTATTCCCAGTGGCTCTCATAATTGGGAGTCAAATGTGGTTCTCTCCTTGCTCTTATGTAATTGCGTTAAAGAGCAGCGTTAGCAGGAGAAAGGCAGTGAATACTGAGTGGAACACAATAGAAGGAGATAGAAAATAGATACAAGGAGCTGAGTCTCCAGAGGCGGTATTTTCTATTTGCTGGGCTACAGACTCACAGCTGATAATGCAAGTTGTAATTAATATAAAAGCAGGAGACAAGCCGGGGGAGCTTGTAGGAGCGGGGCCACAGGAGATCACTCTGCCGCTCGCCTCTGCTTCTCATTTACGCGCAGCTTCCCCCGGAAAACACAACCCTGCCAGTGTTTTCTCCCTTGAAAGTTAAAAAAAAAAATTGACTTAGCACCATCATTGAATTTTGCTAAATCTAGAAAAGAGCGGAGCGAGGACAAGCGTCTCCAGGCACAGGAAGCAGATTGCACGTGCCTCTCTTTTGTCGAGGCTGCAGATACGGTGGAGGCTGTAACATTTTACAACATTTCTGGGGGGACCTGCCTAGGGGTCTCTTTAATAAGTCCTGGCGCATGGGTGATGTTTTCCTGTTTAGATAACGGCACACAGCTCGTGGTTCTTCCACTCACAGAGATGATGTAGTAAATGTATGAGGGTTTCTAAGTAAATTCAAAAACCGAGTGGGTCAGTAAAACGTGATGAGGCTTCAAGAAAGAAAAAAAAAGCATACTCCACACAGGTTTTATCTAAAATAATTGGAAGCATCTCAGGCCCCCAATGAAAAGGTGACTCAATGGATGGGGTTAGGGGTTAGGAGAGAGCCTTCGCTTAGAAGGAAGACTCTGGTGCCACCTCTAACTTATCATGTGAACTTGAGCAAGTGTCGTTCTTCATGTTCCTGGGACATGTTTCCTTTCTCTCTCTCTAAAAGGAAGAAGTTGGGTGAGATCACGTAGATCACCTTCACTTCTTATTTCTGTTATTAAAAATAATTTAAAATAGCATTTGATTTCCTAGAACCCACACAATAAAAACATATAATACAGAGTCAAAAGTTATATATGAACTTGGAAAATACAGTAAAGCAATTCAGAATAGGTGTTCATAGGTGGAAAGTAATATGTATATATATATGTATATGTATATGTATATGTATATGTATATGTATATGTATATGTATATGTATATGTATATGTATTATGCAAATGGAGAGCACAAAACTAATTTGACTATATATGTTTAAACAACAAAGGCAAGATATGCTTGTATCAGTACACATAATTGATATGATTAACATATTCCCTATGACTTTATGATGTTCTCACTCTTAATTGACATTGTGCCAAAATTAGGTTTTATAAAATAGGATGAAGACTCCTATCAATAGGTATGCAAGGCTACAAAACTTAAAATGTCAATAGTATGGCTTGGAAAATGTTGGAATTTCCCTTTGCTATTCTAAAGTTGACATAAGAACTCAGGGGAAATGTGTGTGCTTTCAGAACATGGACTCGATCTATAAAAATGCACAGAGAGCCAGGTCTTTCCCTCATCCTCCCGCACCCACCCCTCAGTTAAGCCTTGGGAATTCATATAGGCACAGCTCTCAGAGAAGTAGCCAGTACTCTTTGCAAATGATTCCTCCATTGAATGGAGTAACTTTTAGAGAAGATGGAAGTTTCTTGTATTGTTGGTGTATTATATTATGTCTCTTAGTTGTGAATTGTGTTGAAATATTCCATAGAGTACCAGTCGGAAAACCATAAGAAAATGAATTTTGAAAAATACCACAATTTTTATCTGAGAGTGAACGCCTATGGTTGTCAAGTGCATATTTGTTTAATTTCATCTCATCACAGTGACACTGAAAACAGACTCCAACTGCACAACCTAAGTGATTTAAATAATATAATTATTCAACATGGGAAATCGACAGAAAAGCTATCAACCACCAGAAACTACGCAACAGTAATAACAGAAACCTATGTCTTCAGCCATGTCTCCTGGAGTTGGTGGACAGGGCTGAGAGAGAGAACTTTCCCGGAGCAGATCCCAGAGGCTTAGAGTAGTCCCACACTAGGAAGAAGAAACTAGCTGATAAAATAAATCACTAATATTACTAATATTCATTTCAAATCCCATGATTTCCCTCTTGATAGTCTGTAGATCAATCACTTAAGCCTATCTCTCTGCTCGCTGCCCACTCCCCTCTAATTTCTCAGGTAATAAAATAATTTCCCTAAAGACACTGGCCTGTATTCTGTCAGGAACAAGGTTCTGGGAATTCTCCCCTCTGACTTAACCCATTCATTAGAATTGCAGTGACATGAGTAAACCTGACATGTTTAGAGATGTAAAAGAAAACAACAGCATCTCTCCACTTAAATTACAGTGATCGACATAAAAATTAAAATATTTCTCTTTTATTAGTTGTATTATCAGAGCCAGTCAATTTTAAGGCTTTCGTCATGAACTGTTGATAAATACAGTTGTATATTCTTCTCTAAACTTAACTGGTCCAAAAAACTAAAATATTGCTCCTTATGAACATGGATTAGGAATAGCCATAATATAACTGTACTTACCTTCAAACAAATATATTTCCTTGTCTAAACTCAATCTAAATATATGTAATATCTTTATATGTAAACATAAAGATACTTTTCATTTGTCTGCACTGCACTAGGTCTAAAGACTTGACCTAAAATGAGGTAAAGTAGATAATAGGGACATCACCTATTATCCAGAAATATTACAGACTGGGGAAAGTATGCGTTTTCAAGTTGAAACTTTTTTTTAAATAATTGGTTTCTTGACATGTTTATTTTAAACATGATAAATTTGAATGTCTGGGAAACTTAACATGAACTGCAGCTGGAAAATAGAACTCTGTTCTTTTCACCATCACAGTTTTGTCTCCCCAATATTCCAAAGAACATCCTACTTATAACGATTACTCTTATGTCCCAAATATAACATAAAAGACAGTATATTATTATATTGAAGATATAAACATTCAATATCAATTTATTAAACAAAATAAAATAGTAGTTAATGTGGCAAACTATATTTTCTATTTTATTTCAAACTTCCTTTTATCATTATGCCCATCTTGCAGGTATCAATAATAAATTAAAAAATTGAGAATCTTTACTGAATGTAACATGGAAGGTAAGACATTATTTAAATGCATCGGTGTTATATCAGATTATTTATATAAAATTATGAAATGTGAAATCAGCATGACAACAGCCTGAGATACTAAGTAATAGTATATAAAGGTCATTCTTAAAAGTCTTCCCAAAAAAACTTGCTTTAAAAAATTTTTATAATAATTACTTTTATTCATTTCTATTTTCAAAAATTGTAATAAGAAAACTGAAAGTTATTCTGGTATCTAAATAGTTTGTTCCTGATGCTTCTCTGTCTACTTTCCACTGTACAGAATTACAAATTCTTTTCTGTCTTTCATTCTCTCCTTGCCCGCTCCTTCCTAAAACACACACACACACACACACACACACACACACACACACACACACACGTAGCTTGATACCACTTAATAAGGATAGAGGTGTATGTGTTTTGGGGGTGTCAAACAGCTGTCACAAACTGTCACCTCCATAAGAGAAACCTTGGCACACAACAAATTAAACTACACTTCTTTTTAGCTGTCATTATTCATAGCCAATAAGTTGAAATGTTCTCAGCATTTCATGTGCAAATAAAACCACGAGGAAGCACAGTAGATCAGAACAGTGGGCCAACAGATAAAGCAGAGAAAACAACACATTCGGTCCTTCTGAAGTGGCTCATCATCACCCCTGCACCAGCGTGCACCAAATGAGATCCAGCCTGGGGCAGTGTATTAAATATGCATATCAAAGCAAATGAAAAAATAAACCTGCAGATTCAAATTGGACACATTTACATGCTGAAAATGCCCCTCTAGAACTGCTTTTCGGGTGGTGGTTCTGTGGCATTTTCCCTTTTTTGTGTGGCTGGGGGTGTTGAGGGAGGTCCTGCTTGCAGAAGAGGCTGTAGCATGAGAATTCGCTTTGCAGGGGGAGGCCTGGAAATGAATGCAATCAATACACCTCTGGTACGAAAGTGTCAGAAACGGTGAAAACCCTCCAAGGTTTCCTCTCACCTCCTGCATAAAATCCAAGTCTGTGGCGGCCTCGCCATTCCCCACTCACTCAGTGCGCTGGTGGAACAAATTATTGCTTCCTTTCAAAACAAATAGCGGGGGGGTGGGGGGGGTGCGGGCGCTAACATAAGAATGTTATAGTTCAGATCTCTAGGAAATAAAAGACTTTAAATTCTGATGCCCAATGAGGTGGCAAGCCCTCGTGGGTTCCAAATAAATCAGTTGTCATATCTACTTGATTGGGAGCTTGACAGAGGAGCAACACGTTACAGTTGGTTCTTTTATCCAAAGACGGCGATTGTTAAGTTTTTAAAGCATTGTCCTCTTATGGGTACAACTTCTTGAGTGTAATTTAAATATTGCAATCGTTCCATAAACTGGCCTTCTCTATCAGCCAATACTCCATAAACAGTTTAGTTCATCTTATCTCTTTCAGGTGAACATCAAATTGTTCTAGATCTATACATCCACTTGAAAACAGTTGCCACGAGACTTGGTTCTAGAAAACCAAGTACTTGAGACCCCTGGAAATATCACGAGAAGAGAAGAGCTATTGGGCTGCGGACAACTGTGAACCTCTCATTCTACAAACCAGGTAACTGGGTTCCTTCCCATCCTCCCAATAATGTCAAATGCGTATGAATTCAGAACGAGAAAGCCATGAAAAATGAAAATAAATAAATGTTCAAAAAAAACAACAACAAATGTTCCCACGGTAGTGTCATGCCTCATGAACCACAGCCACCCATCTCAGGGCTACGTATCAGCAAATAAACGTACGTCGCTGCTGCTGCACCCACTTAATTTCAGTTTATAAATTCAATATACAAAAGAGCTCCAGGAGTTTTCCCCCATGGTGATGGGAAAAGCCAAGAGTGTGGATAGCGATAGGAGCTTTCAACCACATAGTATTTATGCCGCCTTAGAACTAGATAGCTTGGGACCGAGGTTTTCTTTTCTTTCTTTTCCTTCTCCAACTTTGGTCCTTAGGCAGTCTTTCCATACAGCACAGAGGTTGGAAATTAAAATCTGTAACTACCTATTTTCATAACTCGTGGTGGTGGGATAGAAGGATGGGACACCTCACAGAATGTTCATTCTTAAAACATCTCAATTCATTCCTCTTAGTGCCCCAGGATGGAGGTGGTGGTGGGGGTGGTGTCTTTAAGCCTCAGTCCCTGTTTAACTCCACGGAGCGTTAAATTAATGTTTCAGCCACCAAGTTATTAGTCTAGAGCCTATATCCTTTAGGTTGTGATTCAATTGAATGCAATCTATAGACACCCAGGCTTGAGTTTCTATAAATAAACTGCTGTTCACACCCACTCTTTAACCTCCTCACTCTTGCCTTTCCTAGCATCTGCAATCCTTTTTCTCTTTGCTTCTTTTTCAAATTTTCAGTCTCACTACATATGCTTTTTTATATATAAATAAAAGCATCAGACTTACTAGATCAGTTCCAAAATAGGATTAAAAACAGAGAGAATAGAAAGAAATCTCCCTTCTGGGCCTGACATCCATAGTAGCTCCTTACTACACTCTCCGTCCTCATTCACCAACTGTTAAAGTGTTAAAATTCAACCACTAACCTAGGGTTACTCAATCACAATTCCCTTCAGCTTTTCTGCAATACATTGTTAATAACTGTTTCATCAAGGTTACTGTCTTTTATTATAAAGATGCTTCAGGCATTTGGCAATAAGTCCATATTCTGACAATAAGTTTCAAGAGAGCAAAAGCTCTGAGAATTGTCAAGTGTTCACTCCTTTTATTTCTAATGCAATGCAAGAGTTCCAATAATTCTCAGAATTGTCATCTTGGGAGAGACTTCGAAATCAGCCCCCTCCTCATCTCTCCATTTTTCTTCTGTCCTCTCTCCCTGATCCTGACCAGCTAGCTGTCTTCCCCCCTCTCTCTCTCTCTCTCTCTCTCTCTCTCTCTCTCTCTCTCTCCCCCCCCCCCCCCCCCGTCTCTCTCTTCCTCTCTCTCTCTGCTATACTGATTGCACAGAGTTCAGAAAGCAGAAAAGACAGCAGTCACCAAATCAAATAGACAATTTGCTAACACTCAAGTCACCAAATCCAGGAAACTTTACACATTAAAAGCACAAATCACTCTATCAACTCCCTGACTTGCTTTTTTTAAATTTTTTTATTCTTAACATAAATATGAGAGGAGAGGATGGCAAAAGTACTAAGGAAGGGAGAAGATCCTCCCCACCCCACCCAAAGAGACCAAATCACTTAAAAAGAAAGCCAAATCAGTGGAGCTAGATGTTACAAGTTTAAAAAAAGAAAAGAAATGCTTTGCCCAGTGGCCTTAAAAGAATGCAAAAGGCTCACAGACTTACATGGTCAGCGAGATTTGTAGAGGAGCCTGAAAGTTCTTCGTGATCTGACTTGGAGCTGCCGTCTCTTTCATCAATGACCAGGTCGATGGGCATTTTCCCCTTCAAACAGCTAATATACCGGTGGCAGAAGTTATCGCACAGTTCGTGGACCTAGGAGGAGGGTCATGGTGGAGGGTTCAGCTCGGGCTGTTGTTGTTATTGTTTTGTTTCATTTTTTTTTTTAAAAAGGGGGGAAACTATCACATTGCAGGGTTACATTTGGAAAAGGGCAACCGTGTGATGTCTTCCAAACTAAGTCTAATTAATGGATATAATAGTTGAAGCCGAGGAAACAATAGAGTAATTGTTGCAGCAGATATTATTCTCCAGACACTTCCCTGAGCAACAAGTTACAATGGGGAGAGAAGAAAGAGGACTGGAAAGAACTGGGCTCAGACTGGGCCGTCCAGAGGGGGAGGGATGACCGATTTGATGATAACATCAAAATGTAAGGACGCTGGACCTTGGAACAGCATTAGCATTTGCGATTCAATAAGCTAGGAGGGCTTTTCCCAGGGAAAGTGATTGAGCTGCAGAGCAATGCAAAGACATCCCAGAGAGATTCCCTCTGCCTGCCCCTAATGCACGCTCAGGGCTCGGGGTGAGCTGAGCTAATAGAGACACAAGCAGGCTGAACGTCCAGTAACACACAAATGGTTTGCTGCATTTTAAAAATAATACCGAATGCCTGGGGAAATAAAGAGGTGGGGGGGAGGCTACTTTCAAAGGCAAGGCTGCTCTATTTCACCCATCCTCTGAGCCCCTGGGTTGAGGAGCAGTCAGAAGGAAGAAGGACTTGGTAACATGTTGCTCAAAATCTCCAGGTGCTCAATCCTTCCCGGAGATGGGCAGGTTTATTCAAAAACACCCCAACTCAGCTAGTAGAGGGAAGTGTACATCAGAGCGGGGGAGTGTCATTTCCTGCTTACCTTTTCTAACTCCAAAAGATGAAACCTTAGTACTTGTATTGCCTGTATCATCTGCAAGAAAAGTTTACAGTGTGGAGTTAAGACTCTGTGACTTGGGGGTTGGGGTGGGGGTGGAGGTGAGGGAACTGGGCTGGGGGAGAGGAAGCAGGCAAATGGCCAGGCAAAAACCCACCCTTAAGAAACCCTCAGAAACATCAAGTGACTCCTAATCCGCTCTGCCTCCCTGGCCAAGGGGTAGGCTCTTCCTGAACCTGAGCCGAAGCATTTGGTGTCTTTGCCCCTGCTGTTCAGCAAAGCTATTTGTAAAAGGACAGCTTTCCTGGGGCCAGGCCTTCTTTCTCGGCCTGCGCCCTCTCTCTCCGTCCCCTCCCTCGACCTCGACCGGGACAAATTTAAAATAAAATAAAAAAAAGAAAAACAAAAAAGAAAGTCGCTCCTCTGTAGAGAGAAAGCTTTTTAGAGTAGCACACCCGGGCGAAATCCGCCCTTGCTAAAGAAGGAAATACTCCAGATGAATGGCGAGGCAGGCCTTTGAAGGCGGATTTAAGCACTTTTAATATTGAAATCGCGCAAATTAGCAAAAGAATCGCACCTAAAAGTGGCCTGCGCCCGCCGGCCTGCCCCCCACTCCCCTACCGCCCCAGCCCGCCCTCCGACGCGCCTCGCTTCCACCGGGGTGGCTGCCCCGGTCCCGCCGCCGGCCCCGCGCACACACGGAGGAAACCGCTCCGTCCCGCCGCCTCCCGCCCCCCGGGCCGAGCCCCGGGCCCTGTCCGCCGCTCGCGGGCCGGGCGCTGCGCCCCGCCGGCCGCCGCCCCGGCCTGGGCGCCCCCGACGCCCGTCCCGCCCCCCTCTGCCCGCGCCGGGCCGGGGCTCTCCGCTAGTCCCTGCCTCCCCGCCCCACCGCAGCTCACAGTTGGGCTCTGAGAAAGGGGGTGCTTCTGGGCAAGGGAGGGGGTCCCGGCCGGAGAAAGGCAGGACGCCGTGCACGAAGCCTTACCAAATTGTCCAGCTCTGGATTCGAGGAAAAGAGTGGCTTTTCGGCGCGAACCTAGAAAGAAGCAGGGGGAAGTCAGCATGAATGACCAATCCGTTTAAAAGAAGGGGAGGGGGGGAAGCCCACCCTTGTCACAGACTGATCTGTGAGTGAGGAGGGTGGGGGGTCAGGGGCAGAGCAGAGGGGAGAGAGGGGCTTTGCTAAAAAACCCGAAGCGAGCTGGTGCCTGACCCTGATGGGGTCAGCTTCAGCGGAGCAGGATTCGAGGCCTTCTGGCTCAGGCCCCAGGAAGGGGACCCTGGGACGGGTGAGCTGTGGCCGGGAACTCCGGGCTCCCCGAGGACCCCCTTCTCTTCCTGGGGTCCCAGGGGGCTCCCCGCCGCCTGCACCCGGCGCCCGACGCGGACCGCCCGCAGAGGCGCCCGGCTTCCTCCCCTCCTGGGCACTCCCGGGTCCCTAACCAGCCCCCTATCCCCAATTCTTGTCCGAGTAGCTACAGGCGAGGGGGAAAAGGCCAAGCCACAGATTAGGAGCAGGTCAGTTTTAATTCGAGGGGTCGAGCCCCTGTATGCCTGGCTTGGGGGGGAAAACAAACACCCATATTTATCTCCGCTTCCAATTTGCCTCCGGGCTCAGGGATGGGGAGGAGCGCGGACCGGGCCGGAGGAACAGATCGGGTGTCCCGGCCTTTTCCTCCCCTTTCATGTGAAGCTCGGAGGGGAGGGAGGGGAAAGGGAAGGGGGGGAGCGATGGGGCCGCCGAAGGGTGAGCGGGTCAAGGAGGTGAGACCTGCTTGGCGAAGACGGCGATGTCCTCGTTGAAGGAGTCGGAGGAGCAGACGTCTCCGCCGGCCACGCCGGGCTCCCGGGGCGTGCAGGTCGCCAGCTCGCACTTCTCAAAGACCAGAGCTAACAGAGGAAACAACGGGTGCCTAACGGGCAGCGCCACGCCGAGACACACACACGGAGACGGGGGTGCAGAGGGGAAGGAGCGAGAACTGTAATCAACAAAGTTTGGAGGGTTCCGAGTCCTTCTTTTAACAACCACAGGCACGCACCACACTGCACAACCCTTCTCGTCCCCAGCCAGCCAGCCAGCCAGCCGAGCCGGGGCCAGAAACAGAAAGGAAAACCGGGCCTGGCTCTTTCCCCACTACCCCGCAGCAGCTCGGGTCCCCTCCGATCTGCTGGCCCCGGGCCCCGCCAAGTCAAAAAGAGCCTCAGTGGGGACGCAATGAAACGTCCAAGAAGCTCAGGCAGCCTGGAGCCTGGAGGGGATCCAGACCCACTCGCTCCCCACGCTCCAGAGGCCACCGCGCTCGCTCCGGAGACCCGGCCCTGACCTCCCAAGAAAGGAACACTCTGCGAAATAAAAATAAAAAAATAAAAACCGCCTGGACCCCGCACTGGAGCAGGCATGGCAGAGGAGGCCGGAGCCTTCGCTTGCATGCATGCACACCCGAGGTGATCTTTCCTCTTGGAGCCCCAACACCCCCTGGCTTTTTAAACTTGTTTGCTCTACTTCTAGAGAAGCCCAGTGCGAGGGGCAGAATAATAATCATCTTAAATGCTGCTGCAGAGCCCCCATCCAGAGACACATTGCTCCGGCAGGCAACCAGAGACAGGAGCCGAGCGCTAAAACTTGGTGGTGTGCCTGCGCCTCTGCCCTTTGTGTTCCTGCTCCGGGCGGCGGGGCTGCACTCCGGGATGCTGTTGGCGGCCTCTGGCTCCAGGCTCCATGGCTGCCGGCCGGCCGGCTGTCCCTCCCCTCCCCTCGGCCTCCCGAAGCCTTCCCCACCTACCCTCCGCGGGGAAAGCCCGAGGGGTAAGGTACGCCTTTGGGCCGTGCAGCCCCATCCATCCCGGAGTGCCCTCAGAATATAAAATAATTTCCAGCCGGCTCCCCCCACCCCCACCCCCACCCCACCCCCAGCGGGCTCTATGCAAGCAGCAGTCCCTTCCACCGGCTGCACTTCAAGGTCTGCCCCCTTTATTTACAGAGAATTAAGAAGTGGGTGATTAGGGCTTCCTGGCCCACAGAAGCAGCCCTGATCCCAGCTCAAGCTGCATTTACTGACTCCCAGGCTCTCGGTTGGAAAACACAAGAGGGAAGAAAAAAAAAAAAAGTTGTGCTCGTCCTTGGCAGGAAACTTTCTCCTCCGTCAAGGCCTCTGTTAGGGGGCCTGGAAGGACCAGCTCTGCGTCCTTTGGCCAGGAATCCCGTCCTTGGGGAGCAGGCCCTGGCAAGCTTCTCCAGACTCAGTCATTCCGGGGGCTGTGGGGTCCAAGAGTGACAGGGCCCTGTGGGTGGAGGAAACTATCCCTTCTGGGGACTCAGACTCAGGGGGGCAGAACAGGCCCCCTGCACTATCCTTCCTTCAGGCAAGCGCCCTGGCTCCCCTTCTCTAAGCAGAAGTAACTCCCCACTTAGTTCGTCACCTTCTCACCCCCTGACCCCCACAAACACACACTCACACACAGCATGTCAGGTCGTGGTCGCGGGGGGGTGGGGTGGAGGGCTTTACCCATAGATCGCGTCCTTGTCCCGCTTCAGGGCGTCGTTGACAGCGGACCCCATGCTGGCCGGCATGACATTGGGGTGCGGGGCGTGCGCGCCGTAGTGCTGCGTGGCGTGGAGCGGCGGCCCGTGGTTCAGGTGGTGGACCGGGGGGATCGGCCGCGGAGCGTGGGGGTCTCCGTACATGGACGCGGGCACCCCTACGCCGTCCATCCCGCCGTAGTGGGGCAGCTCATCGTACTGTCAGGGTCCGGCGGCGAAGGGGGCGGGGGCGCAGGGGGTGAGGAAGCCGAGGGGGGGACGGGAAAGGGAGCGAGGAGAAAGCGGCGAGGGGAGAAGCGGGGAAGGCGGCAAGGGGATGGGAGAGGCAGAGCGGTGAAGGGAAGAAGGGAGTGGAGGGGGAGTCAGTAGGGGGGGAGAGAAAGAGAGGGACGGAGAAGAAAATAAAAATAAAAACAAAGTCAGAACAACGGAGAAAAGTACCCAGCACAAGTTAAACATGCACAGACACAAAAAAAACACACACACACACAAACCCAGCTGAAAACAACGGAGCTGAAAGTTGGGGGAATTTTTTTTTTTTGTATATTTTTTCAAACGAAGAAGCCTGAATTAGGAGCAGCGGGTAGAGCAGGCAGAGGGGGCGGCGAGGCCGGGCCGGAGGGGGTGCCCGCGGGGTCCCGCTCGTTCGGGGCCGGGGCCGGAGGCGGCAGCACGGAGCGAGCCAGCCCAGCCCGGGGAGCAGCGGAGTTCGTGTGAGGAGGAAGCCCCGGATCCCACCCCTCGCCCCCCTCCGCCTCCTCCCGAGGAGGATCCAATAAATCAAAAGGCGAAATGAAACAAAATAAAGAGAAGGAAAAAAACGCTCCTCATCGGGACGAGGACGCCTCCGAGGACCGGGGAGCCGAGGGCCGCCTGCGCCTCCCCGGGGGCAGGGAGCGGAGGGTGGGGGTAGGGGGAAGAACGTGAAAGTTACCAGAAACATTATTTAGCAGCTGATTCCCCGCGTCCTTGTCAATTTCAGAGACAAAACCAGCGGCCCCGGCCAGGCTGGGCGGCGGCGCGGCCCCGGCGGCGGCTCCTGGCGTGGCGGCCAGAGCCCGCCCGGAGCCGCGGGAGCAGCGGCGGCAGCAGCGGCGGAGGCGGCGGCGGGAGAACCGGGGGAACCGCGCTGCTAGGGCACAAGCCGGAGCGAGGCGAAGCGTGTAACAATTGCACACGCAAACACACACACACACACACACGCACACGCGCACACACACACACACACACACACCGCTCACACGCACTCGCCGCCCGCCCGCACAGCGCTGCAACTCGCGCGCCCAGACACGCACACACGCACGCACACACACTCGCACACACGCAGAGGCACGGGGAGCAAAGAAGCCGGGGGATAATTTCGCTGCTATTTTTTAAAAATACTGGTCGCCGCCATCACCAAGCAGGGAGCAGCGGCAGCAGCAGCAGCAGCAGCAGCGGGGAAGGGAGAGAAGCGTTGGGACAGACAGGCCCCTCTTAGGAGAGGATTTATATCTAGGTAAGTGCTGGAGATTTAAACCTACCCTTTGCGCCATCAGTCTGCGCTCCAATAAACTCCTGGATGTGTCGTATGTTTAATATCCCAGTCCGGATAAGAAAGTGATTCTAGCTGAAGATTCCTTTTTTTTTTTTTTTTGTCCAAATCAAGGAGACTTCTCCCAATTCTCCAATATGTTGTTTTAGTTTTTTTTTTTTTTTTTTAGAGAAGAAAAAAAATTAAAAAAAAAAAAAAGCCCAGGCAAGACAACGAAGAGTTGTTTTTTTTTTCTTTCTGTGATATTTCTTCTTTTTCTCTTTTTTCCTCTTCTTTCTCCTCCTCCTGATCTTCCTCCTCCACCTCCTCCTCCTCCTCCCCCCTCCCCTCCTCCTCCTCTTTGGTCCTCCTTTCCCCCTCTTTCTCTTCTCTGCCCCTCAGTTGGGAGAAAAAAAAAAGAAGAAAAGAAAAAGAAGAAAAAAGAAGGAAAAAAAAATTTGTCAAGCTCCCGAACTGAAGGCTACGAGCGGCCCGTCAGCAACCCACATGTAACCGAACTGTCGTGTTTCATGGCTTTTTGCCACTCCAGCTGTCAATCAAAGCCCGGAATGTCAAGGTAGTGAATGAATGATGGTTGATGATGATGAAGAGGAGGAATCTTTCAGACCCGGTGGTTGGTTTTTTGTTTTGGTTTTTTTTTTTTTTCCTCTTCCAGTAAAACTCCGCGAGGGGTTTCTGCTTCTTGAATTTTTCCTCCCCCCTCCCCCCCCTCTCTCAGCGTTGCCCCCGTGGTATCTATTCTACGATCCCCTCTCCTTAAAGTATCCGTCAAAGAAAGCGGGGGGGAGGGGGGAGGCAAGAAGAAGAAGAAAAAACAAAACAAAACAGAAGAGTTTGCAAAAAATTGGACTTCCTCCCCCTCTTTCCTGGTAGGTATTTTGTCTCTCCCTCCCTCTCGCGCTCGCTCTCCCTCGCTCCTTCTCCCCGGGAGATGAGTGAGTGTCAGTAGGTGTTGGCAGGTTGGCTGCTGCCTGGCTTAGAGAAGAGCCTCGGCTCGGCGGCGCGGGTCGGCGGCGGGAGGACGGAATGACGGAACCCGGAAGTCGCGGTGGCCATAGCCCTCGGTTCGGCGGAGACACATCCCGGGAGCGGGGAGCGGGGAGCGGGAGCGAGGAGGAGCGCGCCGCGCCGAGACTCTGATATGGAGCGAGTGCGATCGGACTGCCCCGACCGGGGAGGGGAGGGGGGGCCGGGGAGGCGGAGGGCGCGAGGGGGAGGGGAGGCAGGAGCCCAGCAAACCGGAGCAAATCAGCAAGCCAGCTCTGCCGCGGGGACGGCGGGGGGTGGGAAGGGGGGAGGGAGGGGAGAAATGAGAGAGAGAGAGAGAGAGAGAGAGAGAGAGAGAGAGAGAGAGGAGTTTGTGCACGCGCGCACGCGTGAGCGAGGAAAGAGGGAGAGGGAGAGAGAGAGAGCATGAAGAGGACAGGGAGAGCACAGAGAGGAAAACTGCAGAAAACCACAGGGAAAGTACGGTACAGCCTCAGATCTTTTAATATTTTTTTTAAAAAAGAAACTTACTTCTAGTTTATTTTCCCATCACTCCGGGCTCATGCCTAACGGGGTCGTGTTGGGAACGTGTGGCATGGCGCTCTGGCTTTTGTTCCTTTTAATTCCGCCGCCCCTACTCTTCTCCGAGCCGATCACAGCGCCCTGAGGCTCTGCTCACATCCAGGGCAGCAAGCTCCGCGCACGGTACCGCCGCCGGACTGGAGGCTTTCCTCCTCTCTCTTCTCTTTTCTTTTCTTTTCTTTCATTTCCTTTTCTCTTTTCTTTTCTTTTCTTTTCTTTTCTTTTCTTTTCTTTTCTTTTCTTTTCTTTTCAAGTGGCACTTACTTCCCGGTGCAGATCCAGGACCCTTGTCAGAACTCATTTTTTCTTTCCAGGATAAGAAGAAACCAGCTTAACTCAGAGAGCATTCCCTCCAAGCTTTGCGGATCAGGGCCACCCTGGAGAATCTTTGGGGGCCGCTGCGGACTCGGATGGGAGGAAATGGGGAGGGAGTCGTTTGGGCATTTCAAGTCTGATTTCGCCACGGAGTGGTGTGTGTGTGTGTGTGTGTGTGTGTGTGTGTGTGTGTATGTGTGTGTGTGTGTGTGTGCCTGTGTGCGCGCGCGCACGCGCGCGCGCGCATCTCCGCACTAGGTCTCCCTTGGAGCTGGAGAGCCAGAAGGGAGAGAGGGACCGAGAGGATGTCCCGGGAGGAGGACGGGCCGGTGCTCCCCGCCCAGCTTTGTTGTGGTCACCCCGGGCGCAGAGGCTTCCGCGCGGCCCCGCCAGCTAATGGCCGTGTTCATTCCCCGAGGCAGTTTCGCGAGATCGGGAGGACCGGGCCGACTCGGAACGAACTTTTCTAACATGGAAAAGGAGGGGAGGGCAGGGGAGGCGAGGTAACCGTCCCGCACCGCTTGTGCAGAAAGAAAGTAGTTCTGGTCGGCGTCTCGCCCAATCGCCGGCCCAAGCCGCACCTACCCTCACCTTCGCGCCCAGGGCTTCCCGGCGGCCGCGCGTCAATCACCCCGGGCCCGGGCTGGGGGCGGGGCCACGGCCGCTCCGCGCCGCGCGCAGACCCCGCCGCCCGCCGCCCCGGGGTTCCCCGCAGCCCCCGCAGCCCGCCGCCCCCTGCGCTCCGAGCCTGCCCTCTGCCCAACTCCGCGCTGTAGCCTGCGTCCTAGGCTCCCCCGCCCGAACACGAACTGTTCCCCAACAGCCACCTCCCTCCAACTTTGAACCCTTTCTGGGGAGTAGAAAGTAGTACATCCACCGTGCGACTTTGACCTGACTTCCCGGGAATGGGGGGTGGGGGAGGGGGCAGTGAGAATAAAGTACTGTGTGTGTGTGTGTGTGTGTGTGTGTGTGTGTGTGTGTGTGAGAGAGAGAGAGAGAGAGAGAGAGAGAGAGAGAGAGAGAGAGAGAGAGAGAGAGAGAAGGGCGGGGGCGGGCTGGCTTTTTTTTCTCCCTTTTCCATCTTCTCTGCTTCACTTCGAGCTTCTTTCGGGCTTAGATGGCAGCCTGCAGACTCCCAAGTGGAGTCGGAGAAATTTGGACCCGTTTTAATAGGGCTGGGGAATGAGCTCTGTAGGTCAATAAAGCCCTCCAAAAATGATGAATGATTGAGCACCTGTGATGATGATAGTGATTACCAGAGCAATTAAACAGTTTGATTAAATGAGCCATCATAACAATGATGTCTGCTGGAAACCGGCCCTCACATATAAAGATAGTGCGGAAGGCCTGGCAGAGCGAGGGTAGCGCCGCCAGGGACGGGGCTGCGGACGCACAGTGCTGGCCGGGGTGGCCAGAGGAGGGAAGGCTGGCCGGGCGCGGAGCTTGGGGAAGGAGAATTTGGCCCAGGTTTTCAGCCATGCTTGTGTTGCGGGTCAAGCCTGCAGGAGCCTACGGGTATGAAACCTGCAGGTTGGGGGAAGGGTTCTTAAGAACCCTCCACCTCCTCATTTTTTTCCCCCTAGAAGAAACTCCAAGATTACATGAATCCTTATTTGTTACTGAGTTGCTCCTCGACATATAAGAAAAGGTGAGTAACAAAAGACAAAAAGATGCAAAAGGAAAGAAAAAAAAGTTGGCTTCCAGAATTTTATTTCCAGGGACAGTTAGGCGAATTCAGGTTAGCCGGGGCGGGAAGGATGAGAGCGGAAAAAGCCAGCTGCTCTCACCGCACAAGGTTTTGGCTTTGCAGAGAGGGCTTCATATTGGTGGATGCAAGTTTCCGGGGCAGCGCCGCTCTCAGAGAAGTTTACACTCGGTTTTTCCATTTTCACTCTTCTAATTTTTTAAAATCTTGCCTATTTATTGTCGCCCATGGGAATTCTTGTTGTTTAAATGTCTGTATAGTAAGTACCAATTACTTCTGTTTTAAGAAAGAAACCCAGAATTACTTCTGTTTTAAAAAAGAAACCCAGTTTCCTTGATACACGCTCCTTTAAAGATCAACTTTGAAGGGAACCTCTGCATCTCAGAGTTTAAAGATTCAACGTTGTTACCTTTTGCTGCTTTTATCACCGCTTTTTTTCCCCTCATGGTGATACTGTGGAGTTAGCATTCCTACCGCTTCTATTTAGAAAAACTGCACTAGTATTTTCTTTTAAACCTGTTTCTTGTAAGACACTGCATCCGAGTAAAAACAATTCTAACCAATAGGTGATTTCTATATTTTCAAACACTTGTTAAAATAATAATGGGTTGATTGCTCCGTGATGATCTTGGATTTTACAAAAGAAAAAAGTTTAAGATCTATTTCCATCTTTTGGGCAATGCAGAAATCTTTTTAACCCGCAAACATACACACACTCTCTCTCTTCTCTCTCTCTCTCTCTCTCTCTCTCTCTCTATATATATATATATATATATATATATATATATCGATTCTGTAACTTCTTTTCCATTTTATTGAATACCTTAAAGCAAACAACAGGGATAATTTGGTTTGATGTAAGAGTAAGATACTGTTAAAGAAAAAAATCTTTAATTCCAAAGACTTTAATTAAGAAGTATGAGAGTGTTAAAAGTAACACCCTACTAGAGGGAAATCTGAGGCATTTAAAAATCCTCCATTACTTAAGGTGAGAACTCCCAATTTAAAGAAATTTCACTTACCTAGTTGCATGTCATTTATGAAACTAAGTTTAAAACGGCATCACAGTTCGATGGATTACACACAAGATCAAGTTGGAGGTGATTCAGGCTGTAGGTTCTTGGTCAATCTGATTAATTCAAAGGACTATTACTTTTAATCACCAACCTACTGATGTTTTGTGAAACATTTATCAGAACTTCCCGGTTTCCCCCCCTCCGATAGAAGCGACTGAAAAGCAGCAGGGTTGGAATGCTTTCAAGCCTGATAGGACCTTGCTGATGCTCCATTCTCAGCCTTGGAACCCTCCTGCAGGCTGCAGTGCTCATCTGCTCTCCAACATTTGGGGCGAAGGAAAAGTAGGTAGATGGGGCAGGCCTCCAGACAGGCTGGAGATGAGGGTCGCAGGAGGT